ACTTTATCACAGGCGACTCCAACCAGTCTTTAACTCTTCTGGACTTTGTCATGGGCTTCTCCAACCAGTCTCAGACTCTTCTGGACTTTCTCACGGGCATCTCCAACCTGCCTCAAACTCTTCTGTACTTTGTCACAGATGTCTCCTACCTATCTCAAACTCTTCTGTACTTTGTCACGGGCATCTCCAACCTGTCTCAAACTCTTCTGAACTTTGTCACAGGCATATCCAACCAATCTCAAACTCGTCTGGACTTTGTCACAGGCGTCTCCAACTTGTCTCAGACTCTTCTGTACTTTGTCACAGGTGTCTCCAACCTGTCTCAAACTCTTCTGGACTTTGTCATAGGCCTCGCCAACCTGTCTCAAACTCTTTTGGACTTTGTCACAGGCATCTTCAACCAGTCTTTAACTCTTCTGGACTTTGTCACAGGCGTCTCCAACCAGTCTTTAACTCTTCTGGACTTTGTCACAGGCTTCTCCAACCAGTCTCAGACTCTTCTGGACTTTGTCACGGGCATCTCCAACCTGTCTCAAACTCTTCTGGACTTTGTCACGGGCATCTCCAACCTGTCTCAAACTCATCTGGACTTTGTCACAGGCGTCTCCAACCTGTTTCAAACTCTTCTTGACTTTGTCACAGGCGTCTCCAACCTGTCTCAAATTTTTCTGGACTTTGTCATGGGCGTCTCCTCAGCCAGTTTCAACTCATCATCAAAACCCTTTCAGAACAGGTTATATGTCTGTTGGTTCCATTGGGCTTGAGTTATAAACTCATTTGCTGATCAAAGGTTCTGGCTTCCTGATCCAAATGAAAAAATGTGTGTCCTTCCTGCTTGGAGAGCAGAGAGTAGCTGGTGTGTTTTAGAATCTGGCTCGGTTTTGTGCAGGACTGTTTTCTAGAGTAATGAATACATTGACCAGATGTATTCAGATTTCAGAAATGGACCGATACCAGCAGAAAGATCAATAAACTCAGTTTGGTCCGTTTGACTCTCAGACAGAACCTCCTTGTTCTCTGATCGGATCAGGTTGGTTCTGCAGGAAGCTCAAATCAGATTTATCAGATCGGCCGGCTGGAATCCTTTTAAGGAGGTGAAGTTTACTATTAGCATTACATTTAAATACAACATCCTCTAAGCTCTGTTTGTCATATAAAACCTCTGGATCCAAGCCAGACTAGAACCCTGGACCGGGTCCAGAGGAGTCTGCACTTTCTTCCCTCGATCGTTTCTCTCATCAGAACATAATCACGAGAACATAAAACAGACAGAGTTTGTCTTCGTCAGCAGTTTTCCTTCACACTGTCAGAGATAAAACATCAGACGTTAAATTTAATGAAAATAGTTCTGATTATTTCAACGCTTGGTTCTGTTGGAACCGGTTCTGGCTCAGTACTTCTCTGATTCTCTGTGAAAAGAGATTTTATCACATTAAAATAAACATTTAGCTAAAGTTTAGAATTTACTGATTCAGTATTTCTCTGATGTATTTTTGATTTAACAGAAACCCACCAGAACCCACCAGAACCACATTTTCACATGGTGCAGAACATGATCACAGGTTTTATAAAAACGTCTTCTTTGCTGGGAGTTTGGATCCAGGGTCAGGTTTTGACACCTGGAGAGGACTTCAGACATCCAGGAGGAGGATTCAGCTGAGTGGGTTCAGGTATCTGATCAGGACACCTCCCTCTAACCCTGGGCCAGAACCAGAGCTGTCTGCAGGGGTTATTTACCCACTTTGGTCTGGGAACACCTTGGGCTCCCCCAGAAGAAGCTGGAGAGTCTCTGAGGAGATGGAGGTATGGTTTTTCCTTCTGGACCTTGGTTCAGAGAATTAAAAAATCAAATCCATGAACAGAATCTAACGAGGAGCCCTCAGAAGTCCAGAACATCTTTCAGAACCACAATTATAAGTTAGAAGACCTCCTGATGCTGCAGAGGAACCACCTCAGTTGGGCTCCGTCCCCTCCTGACCCCTGTTTAACGTTCCTATACCTCTGAGGGTTCTGGACCTCCAGGCCTGCCATAAAGGAAACATCATCCATAGCAGAACCTGGACCACATCCAGCCTTACTTCTTCCTGGTCCTGCAGGTCTGACGATGATGAGAGCGGATGTTCTGGCACTGAGTCCAAAAGGAGACTGGAGGACAGGTGAGAACATGGTACCGTCCTCATTGGGGGTAGACTCAGCCTGAACCCAGTTCTGCTTCAAAGAGCTGAAGACCAAACCTTCCTGGTACACGTGGGTCCAAATACATTTATAGGCTCCCCAACAATCCACCAACCAAGACCACCCAGGTCCTGGTAGGTGTCTACCATCCTGGTGATGAAGACGTTGGAGACGTCAATAAAAACAGAACTTTTTGTTTCGGTTTTGGACGAGTTCTTTGTTCTTTCTCAGGTTTATGAACATTCGGAAATAGTTTACGTGTTATTTAAACGTTCTGCTCGTGTTCTCCCTGTCCTTCAGAACCCATGTGTTTTGACTGGGGGGAGTCCAGCAGGGGATCTGTCTCCGTCCTGGAGGGGGAGGCAGGTTGGATCTCTTGTCCTCTGTTTTCTCACCCGTCCGTCTACAACTACTCGTCCACCCAGAGCGCCGGACACAACCTGTTCTGGTACCGCCTCCTGGAGGGCCAGGACCTGGAGCAGCCGATCGCCTACAGGTAACCATGGAAACCACACGCTTGTTGACACGTCGGACTCTGAGACGTTCTGTTTGGATGATAGACGGTGTCTGGGAGGCGTGTCTCGGGATGTTTGGGTTTGTTCTGACGGGTTCTAACGTAGTTGTCTCGGTCTGGTTGTTGCTCTGCAGCTCACGCTTCAGCAGAGACAAAGACCGGCTGTGGCTGCAGCCCGCTGCCGCCATCGACACGGGCCAGTACATCTGCATGCTGCGGTGAGTCCGGTCCCTGCTTCACGCCTCTGCACAGACAGATCTGATCAGGGAGCCAGGCTCGGCCGGACCTGAAGGATCAGAAACCAGGTCCACGTCAAAAACAGAGCTGCCCAGAGTGAAACTGATGGAGGAAAACCTACGAAGCTGATGTCGTCCTGCATCAGTGTCGGGTTTACCCAGAAATTCTGATTATTAAACATCTGGTTCATCTCCAACTGTAAGAACAAATTGGACAAATACATTTTTAAAAAGGTGTAGGTATATGAAAACGAGGTATTGTTCTGTGTTTCCATGACAACACAAACTCAGAAGTTTTACCAAAATAAAAGCTTTTTGTCTGAGACAGATAAAAACAAAATTATAAACTTTAATATTTCAATTTTTATTTTAAAAATACAACTTCGAGCGGCACAAAATATTTGTTTTTCTAAAATAAAACATAAAGTCGTTGAACTTTCTCTGTTCTAGGGACCATATTTGACTTTAATAACTTATGAGAAAATGTTGATAAATGTGTCAGTAAATGTTCAAGGTGTGCCGTAAAATAAGTGATAGGTGTTTGTTTTCTTCCTGAAGCTGAAGTTTTGGTCTCAGCTGGACCAGACTCGATAGAAGAACCTGAACTGGTTCTGATCAGGGCCTGGTTCTACCCAGAAAGCAGCCGTGAAAGCGTCTCACAGGAAACAGGAAGTGAGACTACACAGGAAGCTAAAACCAGATGAGCGTCGTGTTCCGGCCTCGCTCTCGCTGCACTTTACATCTTTATTTATTTGTTTGATGTGAACTAAAATAGAGAATGAACATTAACCAAATAACTAATCTGAGGTAGCTAAAAGCTAAAGGCTAAAGGCAAATTTTTCCTCAGCTGAAACGAGCTGCAGCATGTTTCATTGTTTGTTTAATCCAACATCAAATTGTCCTGCTGTTTTTTTTTTTGTTTTAATATTTGTTTGATCCGTTTCGGTCGTGGGTTCAGGTTCTGGTTCTGTGTCCACAGGAACAAGTCATCCTGCAGTAAGATCGCCATACGTCTGGAGGTCCTGCGGCGGGACGAGGCGCTGCGCTCCTCCGACTGCCAGCCTCCAGTCGCCGTGGCAACCACTCAGCAGTTGATCCCCCTGCAGGAGGGGACGACGCTGGACTGTCCAGACCTACAGGACGCTGCCAGCATGTCCAACAGCACCCCAACCGTCACCTGGTACCACTCAAGACGACCGACCGAGGTATGTCATTTGTTTGGACATGATTGTCCACAGAGACACATCTGACCCAAATGGGACAAAATAGACAGACATGAAGCTGTAAAGTCATGTTGGACTGTGACTCTGTCCCGTTTCTGTCTCTTGTCTGGTCAAAGTGTTCCACGAACCCGCTCTGGGACTCGACGTTTCAACAGCGAGGACCCAGCCTCCAGATCCACATCATGCTGGACTTGTTTCAGGGTCTTTATTTCTGTGTGGTCCAGTACCAGCGGAGAGGCCGGACCATGAACTTCACTCGGAGCATCAACGTCTCTGCCGTCTGTGAGTCCGGGACCGTCGGTCCTCCGGGTTTCAAAACCGTGTCCTGGAGTTCTTTGATGGAACCAAGCAAGTAAACGCTCCTGTCCCCTCAGATCCTACTGCCGTGTCCAAAGTCCCCATCATCCTCCACCCGACCAAAGACAAGGTCTTCACTGTCAGAACAAGTAGGTTCTCCTCTGTCAGCTCGGTTCAATTACCTGAAACCAAAAGCAGAGGATTTAAAGTTTACTGGTCCGGGGGGTGGGGCGTTGGAGGGGCAACGATTCTGATTCTGTTCATAAAACAGACTTTTTAAATACGAGGACAGAAAGACGCCGGAGACGCTTTGGAGGTGGTCTCTGCAGGGCGTAGGTGTTCTGTCCAAAAATGTACCCCGACTGGAACAGGACTATTAAAAAGCAGCTTATGTCACTTATCAGGTGCCCGTGTTACAAAACCCCCACCAGGCCGTGAAGGTGGCGTTAATTCGCCCTTTTTACCTAGACTGAACATTCTAAAACCCCTGCCCATTCCTCGTAAACACCTGCAGTAACGATGTGGTCCCTCAAAAACTGTTTCAGTTTGATCAGGAGTTTACCTGTGAGCAGTCTGAACGTCCATCACCAGCTCGTCAAGCTCACTTCCTGCATGAGGTGCTGCAGAAACGTGGCTCCCTGCATGTGACAGGCGCAGCTGCAGCTGATGGAGGAGGTTGCCATGGTGACGCAGCAGCGCTGTAGGATGGGTCACCGCTGGAATCCGGTTCTGAAATGATTCATCGATGAGAACACAAAACATTTCACATGAGACAAAGAAACTGTTATTTATTATTACTTTCTTTAGTAAATTGGAGCAGATTAAATAAATACAAATTTCACAGAACTGATGTGGAACCACCACCCTGGTAGAACCATCGGGTCTTGCTGCACTGAAGCCAAAATGTCCGTTTCTTTGGGAGCTGTCATTTTATGTTTTCAGAGCTGTAGTCTGTGCTCGGGATATGAGGGCGGTACCCTCACTGGCCCCGCCCTCCTGATTAACAAGCCGTCAATCACAGTGAAACTACCCGTTTCTTTAAGCCTCAAATAACTATTTAAAACCAAAACTTCCTTTGTCCTTTGTGGCTTCAACTTCCAGCTCCTGGTCCAGTTTCTGGGTTTACCTCAGTGGACAGATTGAATGATTTTAATTGACGAATATTTTTATTAATAAATTTGTGAATCATCATCAAAAATGATTAAATAAAATAATTTTAAACATTAAAGAAACCAACAGGCTCCTTCCTGAAGCTCCCGTCTCTAAGACCCAACAAGAATTTAGAACTTCCTGATGTAACATTAATCCAAGCTGTAACGGAGCCAGGCTCTTATTTTGAAGAGTGTCTAAGCTTTATTTTGAAACTCTTTTAATTCAATATGTCAAAATACCAACATTTAGATGGATAAACTTTAGAAATAAAGAGTGGCTCACTATGCTCACCATGGTAACCACATATGTGTGTGCCTCACTCCCTGACAGCACTCCTAATAAGACTGACAGGCTGACGGAGCAGGAAGTAAGGCTCAAACAGTCTCTGCAAAAACTGTAAGTTGTGTTTAAAGCCTGGACTGTGAGCGGCAGAAAGTTTTTATTGTTTTTATATTCATGAAAGGAAACCAGACCCCCCCCACACACACACACACACACACACACACACACACACACACACACTAAAAACTGCTGGGATATCATGTTAACTCCACTGTGGAGGTCACAGGTTGACCTGGCGATTGGGTCGGACATGAGCCGTGATGTTCTTCACAGTCCAACATGTCGGGCCAGAAGCTGACCCAGTCAGAACCGGAGCAGACCTCTGCTCGTGAAACAACGTGTAGAAGATGTTTAAACCGGTTGGTTCTGTTAATAGCTGTAGTTTGTCCCGGACGCTCAGCTTGGGTTCCTAAAAAGACCCGTGACGGTGCTAGCTGATGCTAACTGCAGTTAGCCACAGCTAGCACAGAGTTCTGATTATGTCATGACCCAGATTTTGGGTTGTCCTGATAACAGAACTTTTACTGACTCCGATTCAAATAATCATTTCAGATTAATTTTAGGGGAGAAAACCAAACCCAGCGCTCGGGGTCAACCTGCTGGGTCAGAACCAGCCGGGCTCGGTCCAGACGTCAGATCGGGTTGTTTTTAACCCAGAAGTGTTTTAGTTCAAACTGGGATCCACAGACTGGTATTAACTCGTAAAATCTGCTTTATTTAAGCCGTTTGTCACGTTTCCTAAATGTTCCGTGAATAAAAACGTGGTCCAGGTTTCCGGTTGGTGTGGGTGAGACGATCAGAACCGAGGCACAGCTGGAGCTGTTAACGCCTCGGTTTGATTTTATCGAGATGTTAGATTCGGAGGTCTGAAGCTCAGGAGCAGGATGGACCATCAGGAGGAGACCGGTCACCCTAACCTCATCCTCGGCCCGGTTCTGCTTTGTGTTTCCGCTCAGACTCAGAGGTCCGCCTGGTCTGCAGGGGTCTGCTACCTCTGGTCCTGCAGAACCCATCACGGGAGATTTGGTGGACGGTGGACGGGAAGACGGTGAGCGAAATGTCCAACGACCGGTTCTCTCAGAAGAACAGGTGAGGAACAGAACCTGCTGACTGGTTCCTGCCGCTCCTCGTTCAACATTTTGATCCTTCCTGGACGTTTCCTGTCAGCAGAATCACCACAGACTTGGAGATCTGCAACATTCCTGCCTGAACCGAGTCGTGTTTGTGTTCTGGTCGCAGCCTGGTGAAGTACGACTACGGAGACGTGACGGAGGAGAGCGTCCTGCTGATCAGAGACTTTCAGTCTGAAGATCTGAACCGGGAGCTGAACTGTTCTGTGAGGAACCAGCAGGGCTTCATGACCCACAGAGCTCAGCTGGAGGAGGAAGGTGAGGAAGACTCTGATCAGAACCAACAGGAAGTTCCACTCGTTTCATAGTTGAAATACAGAAGAGCAGAAGCCAAAGCCTTTGTTCTTTTAATTTGAACTTGTATTTCTTCTTTTTAAGCTTTTGAAAGAAGGTTTAATATTTTTATCCAGTTTTATTTGTATTTTATTTGTAAATTTGTTCTTGTTCACATCGTATCAGAACTAAGGTTCTGTGAGTGACAGGTTCTGAACTTTGACCCTCAGAGTTGGATGACCCTCATCTTCCACTTTCACCCACTTTTATCATCCTTTAACCCATTTTTACCCTCTAAGCTCTTAAATGTTTCAGGTCTTTCAACTGTTTTGTTCAAAAACCTCAACCTCTGAAATAAATTTACTCACATTCAGCTTCTTCAGCTACTTCAGCTGTCGTTCAGCTCTCTATTGTTAAGCTGTTGTTCAGCTCTCAACTATCATTCAGCTGGTTTTCAGCTCTCTGCTGTTGTTCAGCTGTTTGTCAACTGTTGTTCAGCTCTCAACTGTCGTTTAGCTGTTCAGCTCTCTGCTG